CAAAAGGAAACCCCAGCGAGTGGCTGGAGCCACGGCCAAATGATGACAGATTAGTCACCAATCCAGTTTGATGGTGGCTGTGAGTCATTGTCTAGAATCAATATTGTCTCTTACGTTTCCGCCTGTTTGACACGAATTCAGTTTCCCTGTCTTTGTTTTTCCCAACTTGCCTGTTGTAGCGTAGAAGTGTGGGTGTCAGAGTGACTGAGGCCTACAGTGAAAAGCCTGGAGGAAATACAAACAAACTCAGATGAGATCAGGATTAATCAGGCGAAGGGACAACTACACCAGGATTACTTTCAAATAATAAGAAATAAAAGATTCTGACACAGCATGTCATTAATTAGAGCCACAAGGGCCATGTCACAGTCTGTGTGTGCCCATACATAGAGATGGATAGTTACTTCCTGACATATGAAGCTTAACACGTTTTTTCACATGCTGTCTTTTCTTGCTTAACTTTTGATTAGTGTTATTTGTGATTCATTTGACCTAATTTTGAAGACAGAGAGTTTTACAAATGAGCAAACTTATGCTGCTGTCATTTTCTTGTAACTTTTCGACTTGCATACCGCATTTTCCAGGCTGGGAGTCACAATTTTATTCAAAGTTTGACTCGTCCTGCGAGTTATAGCGCAGCATGACAGCGTGTCGTATTTTTGCTTGATCCCTGAATTTACCACAGGCGTCTCTGCTCTGCTGCGCACTTCACCGGGTACTGTAGAGCAATCTGAAGAGCAACGATGAGAGAATCAGAACACCAACGGAGTGGAGCCGCTCTGGACCACCCTGATTTAGAGCGCATACATTAATACTTCCAGCAGATTTTCAAGATAACGCTGATTGAGAGTTTGTTAAAAAGAAGCTAACTGGACACAACCTGTCACCAACATGGTCAAATTTGTAAATAAATGTGTTTTATAATGCAGAGTAACTTATAGACTGGAAAATGAGGTATGTTCAAAGAGTCACCAAGTGTAATGGGCCTCTGTGTTTACAACACAAGGAAAAAGGAAGCTATGAATTAATAGCTTAATAATAATAAGAGTGACAGGTGGGGCTCCTTTAAGTTCTACACCATAACACCTCATGTCTTTTCTAGACCGTAAATATTTCCAAAAAGCTCAATTTCTTGCTAGGGACCAGCAGTTCACAGAAACAGGTGGGGGGAGGGGCAACACTTTAGTGTTGCTCTTGCATTTTTACCAGTATCCAAGTGTAAACACATGACATTTTAGTAAAACCATCCGAAAGGAAACTGATGGATGAGACACCAACAACCGCTCTTTGCTAGACACCAAAGTCTCTGTAAAAAAATCCGTCAATAACACCTCTGAATGTCAGCTGCATTACATCACTCCACTTGTAAACAAGCACTTCAAAGACCTAGTGTTTTAACAAGTCATCAACCACAAGACAGGTATTATCTAAATGGCTCTGTCTACTCATCTATTCAGATGGAAATGCTGGTTAGACAGTTAGCACATAATCCACAGATTAGCTTGTATCATGTACAAACTAATCCCTGACAACTGTCTGGCCTCATGGTGAAATTTGATTTTCTTCTTCTTACAGCAACAGGAGGGGGAGGGGAAGCACCGCGTTACTCCATACTTCACAATATTCCAACATTTAAAGGATAAATTAGTGTTTATGGCTCTGCTTTAGCTACACAATTACAATATGAGAATTGTAAGTTAATTGTGAGTTCAGTCTGGACCCACATCTCTGTGCGCCTATGTGCAAACATTCCGGTGCAACAGCACACGTATTCTGGTCGCACTTTAATTCCTCACACACCACTTACACACTAAGAGTTTTAGGAAGATTGAAGTTGTGAAGCAGATTTGACTGGTAAGCTTTTCAGGCATGAGGTAACAGGATATTTCACTTTGGGAATTTGGTCCCAATAACTCAAGTCCCCGTTTCATTCTGAAAGAAAATGCTGTAACCTCCCAGTAAACTCTCTGAACACAATTTATGATCCCAGCTTTGCTTCTATGTCTCCGGCTTTCAGCTCTCCACCTTTTGCCTTCCTTTACTGGTGAAGCCTTTATTGTCCGATTTGAAGGTTTCTTCCAGTGATTTAAAGGTGCTGTGACATGACGTGACTCACCTTGCTTGATGTGACTTTGGTAATCTTTGTAATGCGAGCTGGTCTAAAGCCCTGTTCTTGGCAGGATGTCTGCTGTTAGCTGTCCCGTATCCTGTAGCAAATCACAGTTGGAGTCTTCATTATGTAAAATATTCTTTTTTGGAGTATTACTTTGATTTTTTCATGCATGATTGAGAAATCCCTTAATCTCCCACAGCAACCATTCAGCTGTGGGAAACGGCTGGGTGGACCTAGCTCCACCTTCGAGGCGAAGCTCCTCCCCAGAAGAGTTTCCAATCTGCCGAACCTCTGCCTCAGAGAGGAACCCTCCCTTGTCGGCTCCTGCAGACTAGCCAGCAGAAATTAGCAGACAGCTGGTGCATCTGCCGAACTCATTAAACAAGCTACTTCTTAGTCTAATGCAGGTGAATGGAAACCCTCCATTAAAGACTTAATGGAGGAGCCGTGTTGTGATGACTTCCTGAAGGCGGAGTTTCAGAAAGAGCAAGATTCTCTCAAAGAGACAAAAACCCACTTACAAGGCTTTGTTAAATTACAAAGCCAAATTTTATTTAAGTCCTACTTGACGTAGACAGCATTTTTAGAACAACTGAAGTTAAAATAGTTACTTGATTGTGCTATAAAAAGACACTATGTGCCTGGAAAACACATAATACTGCTCCTCTGGAGAAAGATAGAGGAGAAACACAGATGGAGATTTCATTCTCTGTTCCCCCACTGTCTCCGTCTTATCACAAGGGGTGGATGAAGGTTTATGTGGGTCTCTCATTCTGTCTCTCAGTGACCGATTGCTGCAGTGAACTGTGGGTAACAGAATCCAGCTGTGTAGTGGACTGAGTTTATGCATGCGCTTGTGGAAACATATGCAGTAATATGTGTGTGAGGGGTTGAAAGAAAGATCCCAAATCCCCTGCTGCTGAAGCAGGGGACGTGTCCAAACAGCACCTTGACATGTATGTTTATACCATGTGATTTTGTTCATCTTTTTGTTCATGTGCAGGCTCTAGAAGTTCATTGGTCTCCTTACTGTTGCTGAGAAGATAATGCATCTTTTCTGTTGCAAATGAAAAGTGTATTATTTGTACTGCTGTGATCTCTTTGTGAATTTGAAATTTGTCACAATTCGTCTGGGATCTTTAAAAAAAAACATTTAATTTGCAAATTTATAGTAGAAGTACCACTAATTTAGACAAATATCAAAATGTTGACGTATTTCTGTAATTCTGTTAGTGTGGTAGAAAAAGCACCATGTATATCTGACCCGTCATCAAGGACATACCCAGGCTGTTGTGTTGGTTCTTTCACGCATTTCATGCCTTACAGAGCATGCCTCACCTTCCTCAGGTAGCTCCTCCAGACTAGCAACAGCAGCAATGAGCAAACACTTGGTGAAACTAGGAGAACAGCAGAAAATGACTTCATGGAGAATGTTGTTGTGACGACATGCTGAAGGCAACGTGTCGGCAAGAGGCAGAGGCCGAATTTCAAGGTGTTAAATTTCAAAGTCAAATTTCTCTGAAGTTATATTTGTGCTATTAAATTTGTGTTGCCATCTTGACGTCTCGTGAACACATTCAAAACCGCGTACACACCGTTCGTTTGAGTCCTGAAACTGGCAACTGGCATTGTGTTCAAAGAATAATGGCTGTCGATTTTATGTACAAGCGAAAAGCTTCTTATTGCATCTTCAAGTGAAATTTACTTTGTTTGTAGATGAAAAGCTGCGTGTCTAATTACCATGTCTGATTTAAAATAGGGTCATGGGTTAATAAGTAAAACTAAGGATCAAATAATTTGTTTGTAAACATAAGATAAACATGCTGTCCCAGTTTCTCCTCTGGCTCTTCCTGTTTGATACTAACACACAATTATATTTCCTCTCTTTTCCTCATCAAATTACTCACTGTGTGCCAGTAGTACTCTGGGATGACTGGCAAGCAGCGCTAATGTTCCATAAACAGTAAGTGGCCGCACATAGTGAAAGTCTAGTAATCAAAAAGTATTTTCATCCCAGCAGAGAGCTCTCATTTGGTCTGAAACCAAAGAGCTGCTACTTTGATTCAGTAAGTGAAAGTAACAGCATGCTGTGGCGGTCAAGAAAGCACAATCCTTTGGTTTTCTAGTTTTACATCTGAATTATGGCATTTTAGACGGAATTATCAAGGGAGCAATTGATCAGTTTTCATTTATTAAGCGTTCTTCAGAAACTGTGAGGAAAAAAACACCAAGATAAACGTAGAAGCCAAAGTAAAAACAATGGCAAAAAAATGAATGGATTAAAAATAGGATCAAAACAGAAAAGGGAAAAAATATGAGTTGACATCCAAGGGTTTGAAGTACTGAGGAAATAATTGCCTTGATGATGGTGAGGAAACACTGAATTACTAAGGGCATCAGTGCTGGTACGTCCAACGTCTACAGAAATAGGAAAATAAGTGCAAGAAATGAAATAATTTAAATATGCAGACAATAACTGTGTGCCATCAGGGCATAGTCCATGATGGAGTTGACTTGGGTTTTGGCTTGGGGACTAACTAAAAATACAAAGATGTCCTTAATATATTAACTTTTACGAGACCATATAAGCTGTATCACACGCTTGCAATTTCTTAAGTCAGACAGCTTCACCAGAAAATTATTGCACATTTGTTTGCAGAATATTTCCTGCAAACAAATTTTGATCAAATTTATCCAACAGTTAGCTGAGTAAGTCTCCAACAATGAGAAGAAGTCTGCATTTTAATGGTGGGGTCTGCAGCTGTACCTGAAGTTGAGAATGTGGACAGGAAACCAGTCACACATAATTTCAAAATGTCTTTTAAATATGACCAGCTCAACTTGCAAATCAAAAATGACCTTTTTCTTTCTGTTTTATGTTTTTCAGAGCGTTGGGCTGTCGTCATCATGTTCCTCTACGTCCTATGCTTCCTACTGGCCTCTGAAGTGGCGTTCTCCACTGACTGTCCAGAATCCTGTTCCTGCATCTCCCCAAACTCAGTGTTTTGCATTTACAGGCGGTCCAGCACTGTACCCCACGTCCCCGTCTCCACCCAGCATCTATACGTCTTTCAGAACGACATAGAAACTTTGGTCCAAGATGACTTCAAAGACATTGTCGAGTTGGTGTCACTGGACATGAGCCAGAATAAGTTGGTGGAAATTCCTGACATGGCTTTTAAGTCGCTGTCTAAATTAAAGAACTTGGACCTTTCTGCTAACCAAATAACTCACATTTCCAAAGACAGCTTCTCAGGGTTGGTCCAGTTAGAGAGGCTGTATCTCCATGGAAACCTCATTCAGAGCATTCATTGGGAAGCTTTCGATGGTTTAGAGATGCTGTTGGAGTTGAAGCTGCAAGGAAACAAGCTCACCTCCCTGCCTTTTCTCAATTTCCCCAGGCTACTTCTTTTAGACCTCAGTGACAACAAGCTCCCATCTTTGGAACATTCACATCTTCACACTCCTCATCTAGAAGCCCTGAAATTGTCCTCATTAGGGCTACCGTCATTGGATGAACATCTTGTAGCCTCCCTGAGAAACCTTCATGAACTTGACTTGTCAATGAATCAGTTCAAGGAAGTCCCTCAAGCCCTGAAGCAGGAGTCTCTCAAGGGGCTTACGAAACTAAGCCTGGCTGCTAACCCACTTTTTGAGCTGAGGGCGAGTGACTTTCAGCAACTGGTTGCACTTCAAGAACTGGATCTAAGCGGAGTTAATCTCCAGGGATTTCCTGAAGGTTTTTTTGAAAGCTTTTCAAAGTTGACACAACTGACCGTAGCCGAGAACCCCTTCAACTGTCTCTGCCCACTAGCCTGGTTCCCTGTCTGGCTAAAAGAGAAGGAAGTCAATTTGAAGCGACCAGAGGAAACCAGATGTCATTTTCCTCTCGTTAATGCTGGGAAGACACTTTCGGCATTAGAGCACAACGACTTTGGATGTCCACTAACCACAACAGAATCTGTTGGCTCCCCTGTAGAAAACACCCCAGTTCCCCAAATCCCTACCACCTCTCCAGAAACCGCGCATACTAATGCTATCCGTCCCCCTTTACCGCCTAGCGATGAAACTTTTTCCTCCATAACAGACAACCCATCCTTTGGATCAGATCCTCCAGTGTCTCCCAGCTCTACTGTTGTGAAAAACGAGTTACATTTCTGCCCACAAAACATCTGCTTGAATGGAGGGACTTGCTACTTTGACCCAACTGGCCGACTCAACTGTTTGTGCTCTTCGGGGTCATCTGGAGACTACTGTGAAATTCATAAGGTCGTGCAGCAACAATCTGAAACAGAGGTCTCTGTAGTGACTTCAGCAATGCCAGATAAACTAGATGCGATCAGCTCACGGGAGGTGACATCTACATCGATACTCCTTGACCTGCACCACTTCATCGAGACACGGCCTCACATTCGTGGCATCAGGCTGACCTACCGTAACCTCTCAGGCCCCGACCGTCGCCCTCAGATGCTGAGTTTGCCAACATACTACCCTGTATACACTTTACGTGGTTTGAACCCAAACTGTACCTACTTGGTCTGTGTCAGTCCCCTTGGAGAAAAGATCCTTTATAAAGGCAACAGCTCTGCAGAACTGGGTCCCTGTACAGAGGCTCGCACTAGTCCTAGCATCTTTGTAGAACATTTGGTAGATCCAGACTCCCCTATGACAAAGAATCTCATTGCAGCGCTGGCGGTTCTAGCATTAGTCCTAGTGTTGGTTTTGGTGGCAGGTACAATCATCTGTTTACAGAAGAAAAGGCAGGCACATTCAGAAGTGGAGCTGGGCTCAACGGATCCTGAGGCAATCGACTTGGAGGGTAAAAAGGTTCATCTAGAGAACGGAGTCAATGGTACACTACCTCTCAAACAGCCTGAGGCAGATCGTTGCCAGACCCCACAACTCCCTCCATTACTGCAACAAAATGGAAGTCTGGACTATGAAGCACCCTTAATGCAAGGGCACTGTCCATCAAATAACAATCAAGCAACACTGAAGCCGTCTTATTTCTAACGCTGAGCAGGGTCTAAGCAGAGTTTCCATTGGGACTTTCTGAACCTGCTATATCTCTCTTAGTTTTTTTTTGTACCCATAGCAGATGTCCACTATTGGACTTTGGGCACTTACTGTCCTTTGTTGTCCACATGATGATGAAATAACATACCAGATTATATATTTAAGAGACTCAAAACAATGGGATTTCAGATCACAGCATATTCAAAATGTGCTTAACCACTATGGGACAATGAAGAAGACGTGGTTGAAACTCAGTGAATGGAGGGTGGCAGTGGAACATCTAATCCAATCAATAAATCAAGTGCAATCAATGAGAAGAGTCTTTGTAGTGGACAGTGACTGCTAGCAGTGACCTACTATAACTCTGTACCTTTTTTTTTTGCTTAAATGAAAGAGAGAGACTTTAATCCTGTTGCTGGATATGGGAATACTGAAACTGAAAAAGTGCCTTCAACTGGAGAATGCCAGAGGTTTAAAGACATGAAGACTTTTGAATCATAAATTTTAATGTTAAAGGACTTTCAAGTACCTGCAAGGGATTGAAAACAAAAAAGTTGCACTGAAAACTGCATTTGTGTCTTTTGTGATGACTGCTGCAAAGCGAAGATTTGGAGAAGCAACAATAAAGTTATGCTCGGAAACTTTCCAAATTGTTACAGACTGTAACCGCTGGTCAGAGTCTGGATTCACGTGTTGACATTGTCTAATGTAATAAAAAAACAAATCTCACAAACACAGATTTGGGATTCTGCAGTTTCCCCAAAACTTCCAGTTTCCTACATGGCAGAGCCTTTGGCTTCTCTGGAATTAAATTTACTGTGAAAGATTAAGTAAAATGGACATTATTTGTATTATTCTGTGCCGTTACGGAGAGGCTGTTTAACCAGTTGGTTTCCTGCATTTTTTTTTTTTTTGTAAATTTTACTTTTTTTTTTTTTTTGTAAATAGTCATTTAGTATTAATACTATTGAGAGATGAAACAGCAGTTGTTTCTGCTCAAAGGGCACAATGTCATTAAGTCTCATCATGTCAACGTTTCCTCTTTATCTTTGTTCAGATCAAGATACCTTCACTAAATTCTATGTCCAGAATCAAGAAAATCGGCTCTTGCAAAACAAAGAAGAGAAATATGACCATGTTAAGTTTGAAACAGAAAACTTGGATGACAGTGCATAACGCAATGTTTTAAGAGAGACAATATCTTTTTTGTGTCAAAAAGTAACGCCAGAATTACTTATCCACTGGAAAAGCAGTGATTTGTCTTCATATTTTCAATAATGACCATGCAGGTTTTTTTGTTTGTTTTTTTTTTTATCAGAAATTTGACATTTGCCCTTTAAAAATTATGTCATCGTGGTTATTTTTACTGCTCATCATTTTTGTTTACATGGCCTAAAAGTTTTCTAAGTTACAGTTTGCGTAAATTACCAGTCTAATTCTCACGAGACCTTATAGAAGCACACCAGTAGCAATAAAACACAAACTTAAAAATGCACATAAACATCCAAATTTAATACAAAAATAGAATTGTAATTAACACTATTGATATTTTTCTATTGAAGATGTGTAACATGTTCAGCTCAAAATAATGTCTGTATTTGTTCTCCATAACAGAGTAACAACAACAACCCTGACAAGAGTAGGATTCAGTGACGTTTATATATATCTAGATATATAGATATATATCTAGATATATAGATATATCTATATATATATATTATATATATCTATATATATATATATATATATAGATAGATATAGATATATATAGATATATCTATATAGATAGATAGATAGATATAGATATATATATATAGATAGATAGATAGATAGATAGATAGATAGATAGATAGATAGATAGATAGATAGATAGATAGATAGATAGATAGATAGATAGATAGATAGATAGATAGATAGATAGATAAATAGATAGATATAAAAAATTCCCTTCTCCAGGTTTGGTTCTTATCCTCTGAGCTCGGGTCCTCTACCAGAGGCCTGGGAGCTTGAGGGCTCTGCGCAGTATCTTGGCTGTGCCAAGGACTGCACATTTCTGGACTGAGATGTCTGATGTTGTTCCTGGGATCTGTTGTAGCCACTGCTCCAGTTTGGGGGTTACTGCCCCGAGGGCCCCGAGGGCCACAGGAACCAATGTGGTCTTCACCTTCCAGGCCCTCTCCAGTTCTTCCCTGAGGCCCTGGTATTTCTCCAGTTTCTCGTGCTCCTTTTTCCTGATGTTGCAATCACTTGGTTTGCTACATCTACCACAGCGGATTCCTCTGTTGTTTATCCACTACGACAATGTCTATATATATATATTATATATATATATATATATATATATATATATATATATATATATATATATATATATATATATATATATATATATATATATATATATATATATAAAACCATTTTACAAAATTTGCAACTGGAAGATTCTCCATATTCCTTTGGCCAGTGAAAATTTAAGGTTATGTTTGTAATATTTTTTTACACATGCTTTTTAACACTACCTTCCCAGTTGGTTTTGGGAAACTTGTCTTTTCTTATTGTAGTCCTCTTTGTTTGTTTGTTAGTTTCACATGTAGCATTTCTGTACATATTTTACCAATGCTGAGAACGAAACAGTATTAAAATGACTTTTTATTGTTATCATTTGTGTTGCTTGGTCATTGATGCACTTTTACTCACGTATTCAATGACTTAGTGGTGGATTTAAGAGTTTACAAGAGTGATTGACACCACTAAGACCCGCCTCCTAGCTCTGATTGGATGTTTCCAGTCGCCAATGGCAGAAGTTGTTTCACAGTTTACTTGCCTCACCATATTGTTACGACATGGTGACGGTTTCAACAAATAAGTAAAATAACTAGATTTCTTATAAAACTTATGTAGTGCAGCTTAAGAATCTGACCTGTTATGTGCATTGAAATTTGATAAACTAATTCACTATTTGTGATGCAAAGCAGTCAAATCGGTGCTTCTTATAATTTGCATCCCAATGACATTTACACGTTATCAAAAGAAAAGGATTTCTAACTCTACCAACCCGACCACAATGGATGCTTTCAGGGGTGGAAATTGCCACCCGCCACTGGGCAAATGCGGGTAAAAGTACGAAGTGGCGGGTTGACAATTTGAACAGGAAAAAAAAAAAGCTGCATTCAGTGTGAACTTCTGTCCAGAGGAGGCCTGACTGCCTGGAGTCCAGACTGATGTACATAATGTCCATATCCTGTCATAATTGAACAAATCATATTAAATCAAATTTTTATTAACATGTGATTGCAAGAATGTTGGTGTTGTGTAGTCAAAGTTTGCTGTTAGTAATTACTTCAGATTAACTTATTGCACTGCAACCCTGTTTAGGTGTCCATACCTGGTGTTAAATTATTCTGCAGAGTAAACTTATTGTCAGTGAATTGGTTTTCATAGAGTTAAGGACAAATCCTACATTTTCTATAATTTGCTTGTACTTGTGGGGTTTTTGTAATGGAAAGAAAAACAATATCAGAAAACAGTGGCCGGTGAAAAATGGTTTGATTTCCACCCCTGGATGCTTCATGCAAAAGGGTGAAACGTATTTGGCTAAGGCCACTGGCTCAAGAGGAGAACAAATTCCCCCTCTACAGCTTGTCGTCCTCATCAGCTTCTCAATGTGCTTCTTATTTGGAGACGCTGTTCCACATGGACGGCAGCCGAGAGAAAAGAGAAAGAAGTGGGGGGGGGAACACAGGAAAAAACGCGAAGAGAGCAAAGCTTGATTTATTTGAACAATCTGGTTGTAATGGAAGCAGTCAAAACTTGCCATGGGTGAATGGATGGATTATTGGAAAGAGGAACGCAGATGAATAAATGAATGGGTTTAAATCCAATGGCAGACAGATTCTTGGCTTAACTGGACCCTGCAAGCCACTAAAAACCCTCCCCGGCTCGGCTTTAGCGTGCCTATGAAGCCCGTAACATACTTTAATACATCCGTAACCTCCACGTGTGAAGCATTTGTCTCGGAATATGTAATCGTTGGCCTACCTGCGCATTTTAACACCAAACACGAGAAGTACGGACGCTTTTTAAGCACATTAAAAACGACCATTGATCCTGGAAGCTCAAGACTACTTCAAAACGTACAAAAAAAAAACATTTTTGTTCAGCAAGAAGCGATTTTTGCACAAAACTGAAAAGGATCTACCCAGTGAGATCAGAAAACTGTGAAATATAGAACTTTTAGTTTTCCTCCCCCAAAAGAAACATCTTACAGGTTACAAGTTGCTTTCATGGATTTGCCCCAAGAAAAGCAACTCCACCGCATCGACATTTTGCTGCTTCCAACAACCAAATGTTAAAAACACTGTGGAACCAGCTTAATTTGCCGCACGCGAATTAAGCTGCGCGACCTTTGAGTGCAATAAAGATCAAGAAGCAGAGGGCTTGAGGGTTTCTTTACAGGAGAGGGATGTCCAAATGAAGTTTGTTTTGTGCTTAATAGCTTGTAAAAAGAAAAGAAAGACAACAACTCTAAAAAAAGAAAAATCGGGTCAAATGTGTCTTCTGTCAAAAGAGGGGAAGAAATACATTGCAGCAATATCCCAATCCATTAAGAGAGGACGTTGTATGAAAGTTGCTTCTTTGAGTAACTTTTTAGAAAATCCAGCTGGTTTTCTTCCTTTTTTGGGTCTAATTTAGCTTGACGCCCTTGACAAGGTGCGTCAAGTTCATTTGAATGACACATTTTAGCAGTAAGGCAGGATGAAGTGCTTTACATCAGACATTTTCATAATATGTTAGTGCTTTATGTAATACAGTTATGAATTATGAAGCAAACCTGTGTGGAAACTTGCACTAATCATTGCAACTAATGAAAAACCTCTGGAAGAGTTTCTCTAGATCTTGCAGGGACGTTAGCTCCTTAAGTCTGGAAATGTTCTTCAGGTGATAGAAGGCCGACTTTGTAACTGTCATTATGTGACTCTGAAGGCTCAGGTCAGAGTCCATCATGGTCCATTTTGGGCCTGGTTTCTGTCTGTAATAACTGAAGCTGATCCTGGATTCTTCCTCTTTGGGTCCAAAGATTAAATGTCCAGTTTTGTTTCTGTGCAGCTGAAGAAAGTTATGGCTCATCCACACATTTTGTCCATCCTGAGCATCTGATCAGAAGAAATGCACCACTGTAAGTGTGGAGCTGTATACGTTGTGCTATTTAGAGTTGGTATTCTTCACGTTTTGGTTCCAGGGTGTTTATAAGAGCTGCTGTTGTTTCTTGATCCTCTCAAACCAAGTCTTCCCATTTTTTCGCAGACATCACCAGGCGATTGTTCTAATCATCGGATATTTTCTGTTTTTGGGGCCATTCGAACAAACCAAGAGAAGGTTGTCACAAAGCACCTAAAACCTTCACGCCCCATTCTGAGGCTCAGTTTGACCTTCAGGAAACGGTTTCCAGCACTTCCTGTCGCGTCAGCGCGGTGCCTTGCTTCGAGCGATCGGCTGAGGACGGTGTACAGTGAGTGTGCCCGGTTCCACAGCTGGTTGGTGGAAACTTCATGAAACGCAGTTGATATAAAACCATGTCCAGACGGTGGTGTAACCATGGAGAAGCTAAACGTCTCTAATGACCTGAAGCTGGGAGCCTTGCTGATGTTTGGGACTGAGAGTGAAATGGAAACATCTTTTGTCTCGTCTTCTTGCTTCTTTGACGCAGAATCTGAGTGGGATCACCATTATTAAACATTTACAGCAGTTATGTTAATAATCACAAATGTCGGCTATCCTCAAGTTTCAAACAAATATTTGAAAGTTAAAATGTTTAAAAAAAACAAAAACTGATCATTTCGTTCCTTCATTCTTCATTTTCTTTGAACAGCTTCTTCTGAACTTTATGTTGTAATCTTAGGTTACGAGACCAGCACACACAGACACACACACACACACACACAAAAGGAAATAAAACAGAATTGTCCTTCTCGTCTTACTGACTTGCTTTTACGCCAAATGAAAGACCTAAAAGCACACAATTGATTTTTGTAGGTCCTTTTCACATGCTGTCTCGTTTAGCAGCTCTGATTTCTTACTTTCATGAGAGAGAGAAAACAATCTATTTGGAAATGGTTGGTTGAAAATGCACATTGTTTAATGAAATGATCTGTAATTGCTGTTCATCTCTTGGTGCAGCCCTGTGGAGTCATCTTACCCAGAGACCTTAATGATTTCCATCCTCCGTGAAGCTAGAGCTCGCCCACCCAAGATTTCACTCTGTTCTTTTTTTTTTTTTCTGTCTCCCAGATAATGACTGCTATTTTTTTTAGGTATGCTAACCAGAAATTGTCTCATTTCTGTTGTAAATAGAAATGAAGATTCAATTTGAGTGGCATTTAAAGCAGGACAGGGAGTAGTAAAAAACAAAAACAAAAAAATACATTTGTCATTAATTTCTATAGGCTTAAAGCTTTTTAGTTTACAAAAATGTTTTTTATTATTTTTTATAGCTACCATGTCGTGACAGTGTAATACGAGTCAAATAATCTGTGACTAATTTCCTCCACCTCCTCAAGCTACCGTTGACCTCTGCCCCCAGTCAGAAACAACCAATCAGAGCCAGGAGGCGGGTCTTAATTCTGAAAATTAATCTCATGTACTCACTGCTAAATGTGCTAAAAGCAGAGAAAACTGTTTGTCTCCAGGTGGCCAT